AATACACTAAGGGTGGATAAAATTTTCGGGAAGCGTTGCCTCATTGCAAGCACAAGCGTAATAACAACACTGTCCACTGCTGCGGCTGAACCAAGGTCACTGTACAGAGACTACAGATACTAGTAACGCGTATTATCCAAACTACAAGCAGATAATTAAAAAGGATATCTTTTAGAATAATAAACACGAGAGAAAACAAACAGAAGGCTTCCCTTGTTCGCGGGTATGCACGAGCTTATAAATATTATATGTGCTACTTAAGCTAGGAATAGAATATCATACGTGATTCTTTAAGAAAAGTACAATAACAATATCAAATGGAATTTTATAAAACGCATTGTCTGACAAAGTGAGAGTATGGATGGCTTCATTTAATCATAGATTCTCTTTTAGGTAAATTGTCTCATTTAGGGCATCAAGTTTATATTATGGACGTTAATAGTGTTCTGTTTTATCTGGTGGGACATGTCGCGTATGTTGTCAAAATCGATATATAAGTATAGAAGGAGTATATTGTCTAAATCGATAAGCATTGAGTATAGAGTATTTTGTCTGAATCGGTAACTCTATCCTAGCAGTTTTTCATGTTAATTGTGATCCTTTTAGATCAATGATTCGGCGACTTCTCTTTCTGGGTACATTTTCATCTGGCCTTGTACTTTCCTTTTAAATGTGTATTAGTAGAGTATCATCTTCAGGTCTTGTGGAAGCAGATTATAACATCTTGGTCCTAGGTAAAGATCCGAGCATTACATGTTTTTCTGGTTATGGAATCTTCAAATAATTAATGGTGCGTTTTTTTTTGGTAAGGATGAATCGGCACTTGGTTAGAAGGACGGGTTATGTGTTGCACTGCCAAAACCTTTAGCAGGTACAACTGTCTTACGCCTAACGATTCCTTTACGGAGATGGTAACTTGGATACGGTCAGGGCTCATGTAATATTGTCTTTAAACACCTTTTAGTATTCACTTATTGACGAAAGAAAGCTGACACTGAAAGGCCCTCTGCCGATATCACCTACAAAACCGACGCTCATGGAGTTCTGCTTGCAGTATCGCTCTGCTGACGGAGGTGCATTGTCGCACTCTTTTGAGGATGTAATTAGCATGCCAAAGACTAATTAGCAGCAAACTGCGCTCACTCTGCACGCCCGCCTCCCCCCTCTCGCTTTCAGTCTTTCCCGCAGAATTCTTTCACTAGCTCGTTCGCTGTCTGTCGGCTGACGTGGGAAGACTCTTAAAATCCACCTATATATTTATATCGTTCGACATCAAAAAAAATCCTTGTTAGGAGATAGACATATGTCAATTAGCCGTTAAGGATGTAAATGTAATGTAATGTTAATTTAGCCAAATTTTGGGTAAAATGATCCCGTAACATCCTATATTTGTCCCTCCCCAAATGCAGGCTCCTAAGAGATGCCACCGAATAACTTTTGTACGACACATTACTCCATCTGGAAATCTTCACCATTCCGATATCGTTTGATACTGCAGCGCCCACTGGTGCACCGCCGCAGTACGAGCTGCACAATCAAGCAGACCGTTTCACCGGGCGCTGAGCCGAAACAGCAGAAAAAGGCACGTATCGAAAACATGTCTGTCAATCAAAGCTTTAAAGACAAATGTGAACATGAAAACCTATGATGTGTGACATATATGGCTAATATGTGAGAAAAATTCCTGCAAGTCTTTTTTGCAACAAGCATGCATCAGCAAGTCATAGCTGTCGTATACAAAACAAGAGCTTTTCACTGTGATGGTTTTGTCAAAAAAAATATATCACCTAATTAGCTTAAAGAATTGTTTGTGTCACTGTGAAATGCAGTTTTCCACCAGATACATTTTTTTCAGCAATATTACATTCACTTTGAAATTCAGCCTTCTCTATACATCTTATGCCATTTTCGTCAAATATGTTGGTAAATGAGTGAAAAAACTATTCTATCAGATGCTCAAAGATCTTGCATACTAGCATTTAAGCATAGTCCAATTACAGCTCTAACAGAATTTTCATAATCCCGTGAACGACCAAAGATATGAAAATACTGTAAAAGCAGCTTTTGATCTTATTTATCAATATATAAAATTGAGTACACAGCTTTTTTCTACATATTCACAGGACCGTAACAAAAAAATCAAAAATCACTGCCAGCGGTAGGATCCGGAACTTTTCATCATGCTGAAGAAAATCATTTCAATTATATAAATTAGAATATTTGTTAGGTCAAAAGTGTTCATTTACTAGGCTACCATAAGAGTCCGGAAATCGTGCTCATAAGACCGCCATATTAAAAATTGGCCTCCAAGTGGTAAGACATTTTTACAGCATACTTCTGGACGACTATAAATTCTTGAACCTTATGTTAATCTTTTTTTAAACATTGACATATTTTATAACCATAAACTACACTTTCAATGGGAAAAGAGTCCGTTTTTACTATAGCAAAATCAAGTGTGAAGCAGGAAAGATTAATTACTCATACTGAAAACAACGTTTCTGAGATAGTTTCATCGCTTTCGGAAGTTCAACCTATCTCTGCTGGTAAAACTTCAACCGATATGTTTATGTTGACCCTTATATACACTTTAGCGGCGTATTATACTTAATAAAAGTAATTGCACTTTTTCCTTGAATCCAACTAAAATAGTAATAATATTAATTGAGGCTGCAGCGCTATGGCAGAGCAGAAGCAAAAAAGATTAATTCACGCACAAATTGCGTTAACAAACATTAATTCCTTGAATCTACTTGGCTTAATTAGACCGTTTAGGAGAATTGCCAACTTCGCTTTTGCCGCCACTGTTTACTGGAGCTGAACTGCTTCAATGACACGCACGTACGAGGGACCCGCCAGAAATTCCATAAAATACCACAACATCTATCTAGTGCACAACAGATCAATAGATACGTCCGATTATGTGTCATGAATGGAGGACTAATTATTTATGGGACAAGGGCGGGAACAACTACGAAATATCTTCTGAGAAATAGAAAAAATGAAAATCAACCATCAATGGAAAATATTAACACTGTTCTCTCATGCTAAGGCAGTGCTACGTAATTTGACAGAAAAACGTAAGAAACTAATGAGTGCGTGTATTTACCGAGGTTGGAGTCATATAAATACCAACGTAAAAAAATTGAGAATTACCGTCCCCACCTCTTGAAACCACTAAACAAAAATTTGTGACTCGTACAAAAATCTTTTCCGAAAAGCTTGGGCGATTTTTATTTATTTTTAGTTTCTGGCTTTTTTCATCGCAACCAGTAGACAGGTTTTCAAAAACTATAAAGCTTTTTCATCCTTCGCATAGTAGTGACCTTGTGTGAAGGTTTCATCAAAACCCAAATGGCATGACTATTATTTTATGAAACATAAGAAACGTCAAAGAATCCGACGAAATGTCATCTTACGGACTAGGTAGTTTTTAGCGTGCAAATAGTGCAGCTACAAAACGAGTTCACAACAAGTGTACAACAGCTTGTCCTAAGTCAACATCTTGTAGAAAAACCTACGAAAGGTCAAAAAAACCTACGAAATGTCAAAAAACCGACGAAATGTCTCTTTTCAATATTCGTAATACCCGCGGCACGCACGGGTATCATGTAAAAAACCTAAAAACGTTGAAAAAAACCTATAAGATGTCAACTTGCAGACTGGGTAGTCTTTAGGGCGCAAACAGTCATTCCACGTTTGCTCCCTAGGATCGTTGTGAACGTCCATCTATGGAGGAATCACTCAACTAAACTACACGCATTATTGGTTGCATAGTTTTGTGAGGCTAAGTGATCCATGTTTGTAGTTTTTATCTCTGAGAAGAAAGTTGGTTGAATAGCAAGATCGCATCTGGATGATTATGTGTATTAGTCTGCATGTGTATAAGATCAGTGATATTTGTTGTGCGAGAAAATTTAAAAGTTGTGTTTTCTGAAGAGAGGTGATGTTCAAAGTTATAAATTACGAAATACTGAGGAGAATTACGGGAAATCATCACCGCGCCCGCGTTTTGTGTAATTACTGTTAGCATGTGTATGGCTTGTACTTCGGTAGTGTACTGTGAATATAATTATTTCTGATCTCTCTCATTTTTGAAATTCATTGTATATGTAATTTCCAGAAAGTATAAGAAAAAGTGGCTGGGCAATTAATTTCTAGCTTTGAATCTCGATTAAGTGTACTTGAGACAAGAATCCAATGGAATTGCCATCAACACATACAACTTACAGCTTAGGCCTCCAGTAATGCCATCTCTGCAGAAGATTTTACTTAAAGTCATAGCCAAACATTGATAACTAAAGCCTCATGACGTTTAGGCAACACGTACAACTAAGTGCTAAGTTAACATCTTGTAGAAAAACCTACATAATGTTAAAAAAATCAGTATAATCTCAAAAAAAATCGATATGTCACTTTTGAAGATACATTTTACCCGTGCCGTGCTTTGCAAGTGATAGCCGTGTCAATGATTAGTGGACAGACAGACAGAGAGTCCGACAGAGCGACCAAAAAGAATGACATGATTAGTCGTAATGTACCTGTTATATGTAAAGTACTTGCGGTTACAGTATTTCCTCATGGATAGGCGTGGGAAGTAAAAAAACCTAATCTTTTTACTAGGATTGCACAGAGGTCTAATTGAGTATGGTGAAGTGCTGTGCGTGTAGAGAGACTAAACTGTGAAGCACTGAATCTCACATGAATTGACTTTGCAGTGCTAACAGTGTATTTAAACCTCAAGATGATGCCGAATAAAAAAAATTCTCATATCAATGACATGAGAGAATATGGCAGTGTCTCGAATGCATAACACAGCCTGGTAACAGATGCATTCAAATAAGTTTTTCATAGATACAATTATGAAAAATATTCAATATAAAAAATTAATACGCACAGACAATGGCTGCTGTCACAAGCATGTTTGATCAAGATAGACGTTTCTACTAGTTATTCTACTCAATCGATTTCAAGAATAAATGAAAAGCATGCACACTCACCGCACCTGAAAGGTAGTGGGAAGCAATCTAGCTTGAACTCACCTGAAAAAGGCAAAACATGTATATTAATGAAAGTGGATATGAAATATGGTCTATTGTACTTAATGTGCCTTCCCAGTCTTCAAATTCCTTCTGGTCTTTCCCAAGGACACAGCATGTTGTTCAATTACGAGGTCTGCAAATTAAGTAATGGTACTGGCAACATAGCGTTCGATCTGGCAACGCCGAAGGCGACAGGCGAGCCTGTGATACGCCTTCCGAACAAGTTTGAACTGGATCGGGTGATTTGGTTGTCCATACCGATTTTTCTTGTGAAACAGCATTTTTTCTACCAGTTTGCGGAAAGTACTCACTTTCAACTAGGATCTGCATGCAGAAAGTAGCACTTCTTCGCACACGCATAAATGTTCCGTATGCATAACTTCACCGCACGCATACCATTCCTGCACACATTACGTGCAATCCGTATTAAATTGAATATTTTTTCTAATAGAAATTTGTTCAGTCACGATTTAGACATTCTTTTGTTTCTCCGTCTGCACCTCACACTCACAGATAGAGTGACCAAATCACTTTAATTTAAATCACATCAGTTCAAGAGAAAGAACGTATTTTTCATCAACCATACGTCACTTAACAATGGGCAGAAATATCGGATTGTCTACTACATACTTGTCAAATACCAGTCTCTGTCGTCTTATTTTAAACGCATATTGTCATTAATATCACGAAAAATTAACAATTTTGCTGGTATTATGGACTCCATTTTGTAAGCCGCAAATGCCGCAATCCTACAACTTTTACCAGCAAAATCCAAAGAACGCTAGGAAAAGGACTACAGCAACTTTGAGAAGTGGTGCCAGTCGAAGAACGTATCTTCAACCAAAGAAGGCATATTTTGCAGACGTAGCCAAAGTGTGTAAGCCTTCAAAATTATGGACACGTTATGTTGAAAGCTATTATTGATGTTGTTGTTTATTTTACAATTATTAAATTTCCAATAAAACATAGTGAATATTTAAGATTCTGAGCTGCTCTGTTAGAAAAAATCTTATACCTAAAACTGTGTACAAATATATTTCCCACCAATGACGGCTTGCACGAATGACGCATAGCGAAAATTATCACTTTTCGCACTTGTTAGGTAAATAACTATTTTTATTCTGTTCTGAAAATGCAACGGAAGCTCAATATCCTGTATTTATTCTACACAATTGTGAACAAGCAGAATGCCATTTCAGCCCTCTGGATCAGTACACTCGCAGCAAAGAATGTTTCTAAATATTTCACCTTACCTCTTGTTATACTGTGCGACCTCTTTTATTTAAATATGATGTTACTTGTTGGCCGAAAATTTCTTCGCTGTGTTAATAAAAGCTAACGTCACTCTCCCCGAGGCAATCCATCTCCGCGATATTCTCTCCCGCGGATCTTGCCGGAACTAATTTCAAAAAGTTAATTAATCTAAAAGTTTGCTCATAAAAAACGGCGACCGGGGCTTTAGGAACTTATAATTCCTCAGAAAAGTATTTTTGTAAAGTTGAACTGGCGGGAGGTGGAATTCTTGGAACTAGAAGTTGGTTATAAAATATGTGTTGTAAGATGCAAGACAAGTGAAGGCAATATTATGTATTTCTAAATTAAATTATAGCTACATCATCAGATAACTAAGCGTCACCATCTCAGAGATCTAACGACAAACCTAGGCCAATGAAATATAACAATTCTAACTCTTATCTTATAGACAGGGACATACTTGCGTAGATTTTATTCCGGATCTGAATAACAACAGGATAGTAAAGGGAACACCCAAAATGTCAACTTTCCCAAATGTCAACTTTCCCAAATGATAACCACCCCTTTTTATAATTGCGACGCGTAAAGCAGTGGAATTAAGGTTATTTTCTATGTGGTTGTTTCTTTCTTTCTTTATAGGTTTCGAGGTATATGAGAATGTTGGCTTTGCATAAGGCCTTCACCATTTGATAACGTCAGATAGCCATGGTAGAAAACGGATTAATGATGCCACCATAAAGCCATGCTGTTCATGCTGTAAAAACGGCCCTGAAACTGACGTCCCAGTGGTGATTTGACAGGGTTGCCATGCTGAAGAATTCCCGCCCTTTGAGGAATTTTTACTTGGGGACATAATCATCTGGGAGAAATCTCACGATTCGCGGATAGAAATCATCGTCCCACTCCTTGAACAAAACCTACACTAATAAATTGTGATTTGGGAGATGTTTTATTTGAAAAATAGTAATTCTGAGGGATTCTTGTACTTGTTCTGGAGAAATTCTGTCCAACCTATCTGGCAAGGGTGTGTATTATGTATCTTGAAAAGTCACATTATGTCAGTTTTTTCACATAATATTGTTTTTTTTTTGACATAGCGCAGGTTTTTCTACAAGATGTTAACTTATCACTAGCTGATGGGCACTTGTGAACTCCTTTTGTAGTTGTGCGTGTTGCCTAAATATCATTATGCGTCGGTTATCCATATCTGGCTATGATGTGATGTAACATGTGCATCAGATGTGGCATTACATTGGAGATCTAAGCTGTAAGTTGTATACTACTGTATGATTAAGTCACCCGCGTACTTTATGTGCTCCAGCTTTAGCACCATAGCTGATAACTGTGACATTCATAATGATAAAGTCAAAGATATATTAGCTGTGTTCAGCGACTACTATTATCCAATTTATAGCATTTAAGACATGTAGGTGAGTAGGTGTAGCTATTCATTTTTGTTTCAAAAACTGGGCGAGCTATGATTGTAGTTGAAAATACTGTAACGACAAATTGTATTCAATTACATTGTCCTTTAAATGAATGTACCTGTTGGGCAATAAATATATACATATTATTATTATTATTATTATTATACTAAAGACTATAGCTGGAAGGAAATGGTAGTGCATAGGTGCATAGTGAGGATGTGTGTGCTAATAATGTGTGTTGATAATTCCATTGATTTCTTGTCCCAAATAGATTTACTTGTGGATGTACCCAAAACTTGAAATTAGTTGCTCATACACTTTTTCTTATTCAACCTGGAAGTTACATAAGCAAATTTACTTAGTTTAAAATATGAGACAGATAAGAATAGAATAACCCTGGTTGGTGAAGTAACAGGTGAGAAGAAAATGCTACAGACTGGAATATCTCTGAAATTGAAAAGGTAATTACATTATTTTCTATTTCCAGTCATTTAAATTTTCTAGAAATTTATTTTGCGATGTCAGTAGAAAATCCAAGTTCTCACCTAAATGTGAGGCACTGCGAAAAAGGTTGAAGTGTTGCTGTGAGTAGCTTAATTGCACACGACGCGGGCGCATAATATCCCTTAAAGTTCTTGAAAACACAAAAAACGGGAAAAATCGTGATTTATAACTCTCAACATAACCTGTCTTCAGAAAAGACAACATATAAATAACCCGTCGGCACAGTTAATAGATGTACTTCCTTGGCAGCATATTCAGTGATGATTTTCTCACACAGCAAATATCACTGATTTTATACACATGCAGACCAATACACATAATCATCTAGATACGATCTTACTACTCAGCCAACTCTCTTTCTGTCACATCTTCTCCGATAAACACTACAGACTACTCGGCTTCACAAAACATATAATTGCATTCTGCAACCAACAATGCATGTAGATGAGTCATAAATACTGTTTCTAGTTGATGAAACTGACCTTTTGGGTTTTCTAATATTTCATTTTCATTCTTTCTTTTTGACCAGCCTGTGCTATCTGTTATCCATATCCAGAATAAAATCTACTGGAGGAAGTCCTTTATACTATAAGAAACAAATCATGATAAAGGTAAAAATACTAGAAGAAATTGTTATAACTTACTGGCCTACATTTATCATTTTTTACGCAAAATTTCCGATATATCAAACAATGATACAGATAGGTATACGATGATATACATAAGATGTATTTATAATCTCGCGTAAAATTCAAAAGTTGGAAGTTGTATCTACTTTCGGTACACCCGGGAGTGCCACCACCATTGAAAACGTTTTAGTCGAATTGTTTCCAGCCTTAGGTCAGCTATTTGAGTTATTGATCACTTCAGATACACGTACGGCACTATGTATACAGTGACACCAGAGGTTTTCAAACTTATTTTCTCTACTGCCCACTTTGATAATCATTTATTCTCTATCGCACCCCCGAAATTAATTTAATTCAAATATACCAAGCACCATATGTCAAATTAGCCTTTGCATCATCCCCAAATCAACTCATCGCCGGCAATTTTGTCTATGCTGTCAGAAATGGTAGTTGCTATTTGAACTTGCTAAGGCCCGTATCGTCAGTCGTTCCTACAATTGTAGGGCGCCTTTATGGCCTCCTTGATTGTTACAGTTTTCTACTTTTCCGTGTCAGCGCTCTATTTTGAGGTTATGTCACAAATATCTATTTGCATAAAATTGTGCTTGCTTTTGAATTATATCATGTTTTATTAGCCTGAAATTTCCTACAATTTAAAAAGAAAACATATCTTCACAATAGGAGAACGCTGACGCTGACACGGGACAGGTGCAATTTAGAAATTTTTGAGGGAGAGAAAGCAGTATGACAATCAAGGAGTTCATAAACGCGCCCTACAGTTGTAAGAACGACTGACGATACGGGCCTAAGTCGACCTCCAAATGACCTGTGACGTCGTTGTCTAAGTCATATTTGATGCCATCAACAAATTGATTCTTAGATACTCTGAAACTATTCTTCGAACTATTTTTACCAAAAAACTGCGTGGCTGCCAATGTTTAGGTGTTCGGGTACTTAATAGACTCCCTCACTTGAGACAGAGGTTTTTGAAATATGATTATTTTGCGTGCAAGTTCACTGGTTGAAAGTCACGCATTTGATGACGTATCGACCACACGATCTCCCTTGACGCTTCGCCCCGTCATGAAAATGCTAGTTAATGGTGAATATGTTCAAACAGTCTACCGAAGTTACTCTTCAAATGAAGTCAGTGCAGATGCCTCATTGATTTGTTGCTTCATGATCA